CAACTTGACTTGGAGCTGATGGGTCCTGGGGAAAACACACTGTTCCCCAATGAAGTTAAGAGAGAAAAGAAAAGAAAAAAAAAGAAAAAAAGAAATGTGTGTCTGCAGGGGAAGTGACTTGAGTTAGAGTTAAAGCATCTGGGAGCAAAAGGCTGGGAGGCAGAGCCGAAGCCTCACACTGGCATCTAGTTAGTAACAGTATCAGGTAGCTGATCTCTGAATCTCAGCTAACCTGCGAAATGAGCACCTAATCACTTCTGCCCCAGTTGCCTGTTGGAATCAAGGAGGAAATGGACAGGAAAGGGTTCACAAACCATTACTATTAGAAGCTGGCAACTAATTATTATACTAACATGTTCCGGAATCTCCAGTGAGAACACAGTAAGAGCTACCATGTTTGCGCACCTGCTTTGTACCACACTTTCCCATCTACATGCCCCAAACCTTACAATATAGTTATAACCATTCCCATTTGACATAGGAGGGAGCTGAGACTCAGGGTGAGTGACCCTCCAAAGTTCACTGAGCTATTAAAAGACAGAGGGGGGATTTGGACTCTCATCTGTCCAGCTTCTAGACTCGCTACACCAGTCTGTCTCTAATCAAGAGGGAAGGAGCAAAAATAATATATTAGGGGTTAATGTAAAGAGAGAACTATGATAGAGATGATAGTGAAAAACCTAAGGGTTTCTGAGGTAGATTGTTGACTTATTTTACTTAATTTTAAAATGGGGATGTGCTCTCCTGGTGTTGGTAGGGGTCAGCTGTTAAAAGGGGTGGTAGGGGTGGAACTGTGGCCCTGGGTGGGCTGGCATCCCTGGAGCCCTTATGTGGAGGGCTGATGGGAAGGGGTATCGCTGTACTTTTTGCCCAGTGACTGGCGAAGCCATGTGGGCATGGCAAGTGACGAGCCAGGGCCGGGCTTCTAGACAGAGGACAGGAGGCAGGAAAGGCAGGACGTGAGGTCCACTTCAGGGCTCCCCTTTATTCCCATGTCTGCAGTGAGCAGACAGGGGGTGGACGAGCTGTCCCCAGGAAGCGACAGGCTGAATTACCTCCCTAGACAATAGAACGATTCACTCATGTCTGAGTGGCACTGTGGATGCCCTAACATCTCCATTTGCTGATTGGTGCCACAGTCCCATCTCTCTCCTCTCATTTTCTCCTCCTCCCTCTAAGTTCATGTCTCTCCTTTGACCTTCCTAGCCACCTTATTTCATATGCACACATCCTCCTCCGTCTCCTCCCTCTCCACCCCTCTGATGGACCATATCAGCGAATCCCTCAACAGTGGCATATCAAACTTTTTAATTCAGTGCATGATTTATTTTTAGCCTGAAACAAGTGTATCCTAAAAATGGAGTTCCTGATGAGACAGAGGCTGAGCAGAGCTATGCGAGGTATCTGGGGCTTGCTGCCCGGCCTAGCTCTCAGTCTACACATGCCTGTGTGTGTGTGAGAGCCTCCGCTCTCTTCTCCTGAGCCCGTGACTACAGTAGCTCAACCCCCAAGAGGCAAAGAGTCAGTTTGGGGGGCCCAGGAAAGGCAGGAGAGTCAAAGTCAGCCTCCCTGCTCCCCTCCCAACAAGTCCCTTAAGAGTCTCCCCTCCTCATTCCTGAACTTTGGAAAAGAAAACTCAAACGTTTCCCAGATGAAGAGGACTCACCTGTTTGTCGTGGGGGTCTACCTGCTGTCCTCCTGCAGGGCTGAAGAGGGGTTAAACTTCCCCACGTACGATGGCAAGGACCGCGTAGTGAGTCTCACTGACAAGAACTTTAAGCAGATTTTGAAGAAATACGACTTGCTCTGCCTCTACTACCACGAGCCTGTGTCTTCAGATAAAGTCGCGCAGAAACAGTTCCAGCTAAAGGAAATTGTGCTGGAGGTAAGCAGGGGGGGCCGTGCTGAGCATGTGCCCAGATGAGCCTGGCCTGGCTAGTGGGTGGGTCGTGGGCAGGTGGGCACAGACAACCTGTCCTGAAATCTTGCTGCATTCCAGTCTTGGGGGGATATTCGTGTTGCAAAGCTGGGATGTGTAGACATCAAGGGTGGGCCCAGACTCTGCAAATAGGGACAATGGAGCATGTCGTACAATGCATAGGTCTGACTTAAAGTCTGTCACCTGGTGGTTCTCTTGACTTTTCAAGGGCGGGAGCCCCAAGACACTGTTTTTCTGAAAGAATGCGAAAACTATCATTACAAAGACTGGTTGACATGAAATTCTGGGATTATTGGGGGGTTTCATCGTGTGTGCTAATCCCCCACTCTGAAGTCTCCCTATGATCCTAGACGGGGAGGAGTCGTGTCACCTTGCCTCCCTTCGTGGGTCAGGTGGGGAACATCACTGAGCAATGTTCTTATCTTGTGGTTTGGTTTCAGTCAACACTACACAGTGTGCAGATGGGACGATCTCAGCTGCACACTCACTAATGGGAATCTTTATTTTTTTAATTTTCCTCAGAAAGTTTTTGGTGTGAGTTTAGGGTAAGTGCTGAAGTCAGTTCTTATTTTATCTGCATTACGTGGCCCATTTGTAAACCTGGCGCTGGGGCCCATTCTCGAGTCCTGCGCGAGTGCCCTCGGAGCTCTTCCTGGGGCCCCTCCTGAAAGGTTTCAGGTCATTTACACTCAGGAGCACCTGCGAGTGCCAGCAATCCTCGTAGTCACCAAGATCCTTTGTCAGTCCCAATGCCCAGCCCAGGCACAAATCTGTGGAAAGGGCTATTTGAGAATTATAGCAGCATATTAAGCAGCACCATCGGAGAGCTCCACTTCATCAAATACTTCAACAGAGTTATATCAAACCCATGTGGATCTGAATTTTCAAAACAAAAAAGACTGTAATAAAATCCAGGAAAACCATCCCAAATACATCAACATAGCTTCGATCATTTAAAAAGCACCTCAGAATCCTATATGTCTCCAGGTCATCCTAAACGCTTATTGTCAGAGGGTTTACCTATGGCAGTGTGGTCATTACAGAGAACTCGAGTTAACAAAAAGCTAAGAGTTTTTCAAGGAACCACCACTACCACTGTATTTTCCATCAGGCTCCATCCCGATGGCTGAATGGGGAAGTTCGGTTCCCTCTGTCAGTTGGAAGCAGAGACAAAGTGGGGACAGTTCTTAGGTCTTTGCAGCAAATGCATGGGAAAATCGCAGGCTGAAAAAACCAGGATATCCAGCATAGCTGCTGCTTAGCCCGTGAAACCCTCATTCACATTATTGCCTCCATCTCAAACTGCCCTACTCAATTATTGAGAGATAGTTTTATGAAAAATTTAACTGAAGGCAGAAGGATGCTACTGTATATGCTTATCACTGTCCAGTTAGCCTAGATCTAAAAAAAAAAAAATGCCAGTGCAGGTAATAACTCCCATTTCTGATTCCCTATTATATTCACACACACACACACACACACACACGCTCCCCCAAGGATATATATCCCCCAAAGACTAATTCTGGGCTCCCAGCAAAATCATGAGAAGGGACATTCCCTTGAGCTCACTATCCCTTTCAGACACCTTTGATTTAAGAGTGTGCCCGGCAGACACTGACGAGGGGGCAGTTTGGCACAGGAGGTAGGCGATGCCCGACAGACAAGCCGGAGTGGGTGTCATGGGTGGCGAAAGAGCACAGAACTTGAAGTCAGGAGATCTGGATGTATATTATACTAGATTATGATAAAAACCATCATACATGCTTAGAGATGATTAAATCATAATAATGAACATTTATTGAATGCTTATTGTGTGCAGGGACTGTTGTAAGCACTTTGTATAAGTTAGCTGGTTTAATCCTTACCTCATTTCTATGACGTAAGTACAGTTACTATCCCCATTTTGCATACAGGGAAACTGAGGCACAGAGAGGTTAAGTTGCCCAAGGTGAATTCACTAATGCAGGCGAAGGAAGTCTTAGCCTACACTGCTGGGATCAGTGAGACCGTGTACAAGACGCTACTGGACCCTCTGTTTAGGAGTATTTCAAGAGCCCACAGGCCTGGGGCTGATGATGCCAGCTGTCTCACCGTCAGGGCTGGGACGCACATAACACTGGAGGCACTACTGATGCAAATGTCCAGACCAGGGAGGAGGCTGGGTGTCTTTAGTGAAGGTGGTTCGGACCAGGGGTGGGCTTTGGTTGGGATACTTGTCAGGTGCGGCCTGTTCCTCAGAGCCCAGGACAAAAATGTCTCCAGGAAACTCATGGGTGGGAAGAGAGGGTAGATGTGAGCCTATATGTGGTCCTCATGGTGAAAACAACTTCTGTGGACCCCAAATCTGCACTCAGGAAAACATGCTGCCCGTTCCAGGACTGTGCTGTCGGGCATGGAAGGAGAACAGTTCCCAGCAGATGTCCACCAGGCAGAGAGGTCTCCATCATGGGCAGACGGCTCAGGGAGAGCTGGGCTCCTTTCCTCTGAGGAGTATCGATAGGTGGCTTGTGACATTGTTGATCGTAATGCACACAGACACATACATGCACAAATGGAACAATATTTAAAAATATTGATCCCAACCAATGAAATTGATTTCTCTCTCCGATGAGGAATTGCCACCTCCAGGTTAGAAAATCTGAGGGGTTTTTAGGGGTTAGAAGGTTAGGGATTCGAAGTTTATAACGTGTCACCTAAGGGTTATCCCATTCTAATAAAAATCCAAAGATGCTATGGTCAGTTGTGTATATTTTGTCTGCTACTCTAAGGGATGGCAGTGAAAAGACCCAGAAATAGCCCCATCCATAGGGCCAGGAGGTCACTAGCTGACTCAGGGTCTTGGAATGGCATTCAATTGGCCCTACATCTGTCACTCTAGGTTGGGCCTTGGGGTGGATGATGCGGGAACATGAGACATCCAGGTGGCTCACAGCCTAACATGGAAGACACACAGACAAGAAGCTACGGTGTGATGGGGGCATTCTAATAGCACAGCAACTTACAAGGTCCTCTGGGAGTGCAGAGAAAAGAGGGAGAGATGTGAAGGGTGTGACAAGGAAGAACTGGTTTGTGAAAATAAGTGTAATTCACCAGGCAAATAAGCAAATGTGGGGGATGGGATCTCAAGAGCAAAGATTTTGATAGCTGTCAGATATTTTCCTACCCCATTAGCTTTTTCCTAAAATTCACCATGAGGGCCTCATTCCTTTAGGATAGGATTTTTATCCCTACTTAGTCAAGCCTCTTTGGGAGAGGTAGTTCTTGAAGAGGTTGCCAGTCATTTACACCTCCCTCTGGCCAAGTGTGAGTTCTGTGCGAGAGCAGAGCTGATGAGGGGAAGAGTATAAGGCCACTGGAAGCTTAAGCAGAAAAGGGGCGCGTAAAATGACACCTGGAGGCGCCAGACTCAAGCTTTGCTTTCCATGTGACTGGAGCCTAGCTCTGGAGGGCTCAGGGTTGGTGCACGCTGCATGGTTCTACACAGATGTTCTGTAAATGCTTGTTGAATGAATGAATGAAGTGTTAAGACTCTTGATATCCCCACCTTCATCTCTCTCTCTCTGATCTCCAAGGCTTCGCTGAGTCTGTCTGTTCAGGCAACCTCATCAATACCATGTATTCATTAGCTCCTTCCACATTTTCAGCCATAGTGCAATCTCTCTTCCTTTGAGAAGTGCTTCCAGTCTCCTAACTTACTCTTTCTTTCCTGGAGACATATGTTGGAGCTCTCCCTCTAGAGCTGGAAGACCCCTGAGGGCAACCTGAATTCGAAGCAAATTTGGTAATAGGGAAAGTGAAAATTCACAAACAAATGGAATCAAGTTCATATGGGCAAGGGCCAAAAAGCTGCTTGAGTCAAAAACACCGCAGAAGGAATGAATGGAACGTGTGACGATGATGCGGAAGGATACTCTGATGTCAGGAGTCTGAGCTGGCTGTGCATGGACAGTATGGCGTCACCTTATGTGTTCCCGAGCTCGCTGGAAATGGTGTCATTGTCCTGCCAAACACCTAAGCCACGTATGGGGAAGTCACTTACTTCTTCCTCTTCCCCCTCCTGCCTTCACACAGATCTTATCCCTGAGCCCATGGCCTTTCTCCTCCACGCCATTCCACGCCTAGGAAACCAGCATTCCAATCAGAAAAAGAAGGAAGAAAATGATAAGAGCTTTTTCCTAGTGAGCTTCACGCTTATACAGAAACTATTTTATGACCACTTTAGCATCTCTAGAAGGAAAGGAGAAAGGAGACATGCACGGGCCTCAGTTTTAGGATCTCTGGGCACTTTATATCATATTTCACGTTCAACGCTGATGCTGTTAACTGTGTACGTGTGTTTTGTGGGAGCAACTAAATAGGCTGAACTGTAACCAAAACAGTTGTCCCCCACCCTTATTCTTGGTTTCACTTTCCATGATTTCAGTTACCCGAGGTCAATCACAGTCCAAAAATATTAAATGGAAAATTCCAGAAATAAACAATTCATAACTTTTAAATCGCTCACCACTCTGCATAGCATGATGAAATCTCACGCTGTCCCGCTCCATCGCGCCCCGGCTGTGGGTCATCCCTTTGTCCATTGTACCCACATTGTGTGTGCTCCCCGTAGGTTAGTGACGTAGCGCCGTCTTGGCTATCAGATCTATTGCCATGGTATCATGGTGCTTGTGTTCAAGTAACCCTGATTTTACTTAATAATGGCCCCAAAGCCACTCACATAATTTTTGTTACACTATATTATTATAATTGTTCTAATTTATTCTTAGTTATTATTGTTAATCTCTTATAAATTAAACTTTATTATAGGTGTCTAGGTATAGGAAAAATAGTGTATATATAGGGTTTGGTACTATCCATAGTGTCAGGCATCCACTGGGGGTCTTGGAATGTCTGCCCTGTGGATAAGAGGGGACGACTGTATACATTTATTGGATTAGGAGAAACTA